TTAATAATAGCTGTGTTGTTTATATCACAGAGGGCTGTGAAGTGGGTTCTTTCATCATCATGGTTCCACCATGAACGAGCAGCCTCTGGATCTCTGGTGTAAGATACTTCACTTTCTTCCATCAGGGAAAAGCCACTGAACCGAAATGATTATGTTGTTTACAAAGATCTGACGTCTGTCCACAGTCTGTGAGGAGTGTCAGGACCATTTTCGGGACGAGTGTCCGTCACACGGGCCCCCTCTGTTTGTCCCTGACACGCCCGCCATCCTTGGGGTGGCCAACAGGGCGGCGCTCACGGTCCCAGGAGGTCTGGAGGTCTTCTCTGAGGGAAGTCAGGTGGATGTTCGCTGCGTGGATGCAATCATCCCCAAGGGGGCGGTGTTCGGTCCGTATGAGGGAGAGCTGGTGTCTAAAGACAAATCATCCGGCCTCTTCTCCTGGATAGTGAGTCCAACCAATCAGAGAGCCGTTTGCAGCCGTGTACACGTCCATTCTCAACCTCTTGTTTCTGTTATTGTTTCAGGTTGTTGATTTAAACAACACGTATCAGTCCATCGACGGCAGTGATGACACCAAAGCAAACTGGATGAGGTGACGTTTGATTTTTCACAGTTTCATTCATGTTTTTCAAAGATGTGATGACAGGCAGCAGCTGTATGGAGCACTTCCTGTTGCTACCTGCAGGTGTCTCAGTTTAAAAAGCCGTGCACAGAATGGAGGCAGTTGATTACATCATACACTGGGTGATGTTCAACACAGCTTGTGACGTCAGGTGAGATAGTGAAGGAAGAACAGGAAGTGGATGAACAAGTCATGACTTTTATTTAAAAGGAAGTGGAACCAGTGGCTAATCCTCCTCTCCTTTGATTGGTGAACACTCCTCTACCCAGAATCCCTCTGGTCCTCGGTCCTCCACCTTCATATTTCTGTAGAAATGATAATGTTTAGTTTGGGACAATCGGGGTTTCTCCTGATGGGAGATGGTGTGTTGGAGAAACGTTATTTACACAAGTAAATAAACAACGTCAGACTTTAATTTGCACGTTGGAATCTATTTTCCTCACAGAATGAATTTACTCAGTAGAATCACAGGTTCACTGTTGTTTCAGGACCCGATGGAAAATCAACATCTCTTCTGATGTTGTGATCCTCGTGTTCCCTGCAGGTTTGTTCGGACCTCCTCTGAGGAGAGCGACAGGAACCTGACAGTGTTTCAACACTATCAGAGCATCTACTTCAGAGTGTGTCGGAGGCTGGTGGCAGGAGACAAGCTTCGGGTTTGGTACAGCGACGATTATGTCCAGCGGCTTCACAGTGTTTTGCGGGGAAGCATCAACTGCAACCTGGACTCAGGTGAGATGCATCAGCACAGAGAATGAACTGAGGCTCCTTTAGTTTGGAGTGTTCAGGCACTGATGTCTTAACTTGTCCACTGGCTCCACCAACAGTTTTTTATAGACGTAAGATATCAGTGGTAGAGTTCTCGTTTATCAAATAAAAAAACATTTTTAAAATACTAGTTATTAATACTCAGTTTAGCTGCTTTCAGACATGAGCTAAATGTGACGGACGTGAAACTGGAAGAACACAAATGTCTCAGGATGAAGAAGAGGAGCCGTACACGTAGAAGACGAAGACGTCAACTTGGAAAGACGAGGAGGTTCCAGATGTTTTGGTGATGAGGGCCGACGCCTTGTGGACGAGCTGTAAACAACAACACTGATCTTTACACAGCAGAGTTTGGACGTCATGTCCCGCCTCCTGCTGCTCTACAGGCTCCACCCCTCGCCTGAATGTTCCCCCACATGTTCCTGTTGTTGTGAACGAGTCGGACCCTGATAATCTGCTGCTGCTTCTTCACAGGACAAACACTGACTACACAACATGTCAGGACACTATTGTGCGGACATTCTCCAGAGTTCATGTCCTAAAACAGCTTTAGACTCTGCAGATTCACATTAGAGTGGAAAGCTGACCAGGGATGGCATTGGGAATCTATCCTTGCAAAACCTTTTGAAGAGTTCTGGTTGTTTTGTCTGTGATCTTTTGTCCGTCACTTGAACAGACTTTGATCCTCTGGATGTCAGTGTGACACACTTAGGAAAAGCTGTATTTTGAGGCCAGTTAGCACATCTGTTCTCCAGCAGGTGGTGCTGCTGTCACATCTGTTCTCTGCCCTACAGTTTATAACGGAGAGGCTCATGTTTTATTACAGGGGCGGCCGTGTATTGACATTTATTTTCTAATTCTAAGCTAAATGTTCCAGTTAAAACTGAACTGGATCAAAACTGATTCCAGGTTTGAAGTTGAGAGTTTTATTGTCATTGTAGATATTAAGTTTATCATCATAAGATTTATGTCTCAGTCAAATGCAATAACAATTAAAATGAGAAATTTGGTCAAGAAGTTTGTAAAATTATGAAAATAATAAACACAAAATTCACACGTTGTGCTCCTGATGGTCAGTATGGGCCTGGTGATGGAAAAGTGGAACTGAAACTGGAAACTGTTTTCTTCTAGAAACCAGGAAGCCAGCGGCCCTGCCCAATGTTCAGAGAGACTTTGGCTGCCTGCAGTCAGCTGTGCAGGGCAAACACTGCCCCAGTAAACAACCCAGTGACGAGTCCGACAGTCAGCCTCCTGCCAAGAGGAAGAAGATAGACCTCATCTTCAAAGATGTGCTAGAAGCTTCTCTAGTGGACCCCAGCAAGTTCAGCTCCCAGTCGTCCCTCCACAGTGAGTGCAAAGTGCAGACGCTCGGGTTGGGCTTGAACTTGACTGAAAGCGGCTCCAACCTCCTGAACCTGAAGGTGGAGGAGAAGGAGGAGGGGAACCAGGAGCCCTCCACCTCCTTCTGCCCCAACTGTGTCAAGCTGAAAAGGAGGATCCTGGAGCTGGAAGAGGAGCTTTCCCGTCTCAGAGGAGAACAGGCGGGCGTGGTCGGTCCGTTGATGTCCCAGCAGACCCATCACGACCATCAGGCCCCCCCCCACCCTGAGCAGGGACCCATTGAAGACTTACAAGGTAGGTTTCATGGAAACTGATTTGATCGAATGCAAGTGTTTTTCATTAATATCTTTTCAAATTAAAATTCTAAAGACAAAGGATAAATGGAGGGATGAAAGTCAGTTGGATTGATCCTGTGGACGTGATGAAACCGTGCATATTGATCTGTCCAATAACTAATGTGTTTTATTGTTCTAATCATTGATGATTGGCCTTGGGAGAGAAAACGGAGCAGGGGGGGTTGATTTGTGATCATCTCTTTAAAGACTGGGTCCATCTAATCCTGAGAAGCCGTCAGAAACAAGAAGAATTTCATCTTCTGATCAAGCTGACGATCATTCCACGTTGATTTCAGGGCGTCAGGATCCAGTTTGATTCGCTCCCAGTTCTCTGACACAAGTGACAGATGTAAAAAAACGCAGCAAATCAACATGCTCCGAAAACTTTGATGACTAACTCTTCGGAGTCGGTGCGTGATTGACACAAATGCATTTTTATATATAGAGAAATTTCACACAATAAATATAGACTTGTGCACAAGTGGCTTCCATCCGCAGAGTAAGTCCACTAGCACAACCAAAAATCGATAGAGGTAATAATATCATTCAAATTTTAAAGTTAAAATCTAAACCAAACAAAAATGACTGAAAGTCTGTTGCAGAAGATGATTGTGTTTGTGTTTTCAGGGATGGAGCCCTTGACCCCCACCCAGGTGGTTCTGGATGAAGACGACCAGGACGTGGACTCGGCTGATGAGTCGATTGCTGCAGATCTTGTGATTTCTCCAGAGGACTCTTCGAAGCTTTCCTCTGGAGGAGGCCGACGGATACGTCGTTTCAAGCAGGAGTGGCTAAAAAAGTTCTGGTTCCTTCGCTACTCACCGACCCTGAATGAGATGTGGTGTCACGTCTGCCGCCAGTACACTGTCCAGTCGTCCCGAACATCCGCCTTCATCATCGGCTCGAAGCAGTTCAAAATCCACACAATTAAGCTCCACAGCCAGAGCAACCTTCACAAGAAGTGTCTGCAGCTCTACAAGCTGCGCATGCACCCGGAGAAGACAGAGGAGATGTGCAAGAACATGCTGCTGCTGTTCAACGCAGCATACCACTTGGCCCTGGAGGGACGGCCCTTCTCTGACCTTCGTCCTCTGGCAGAGCTGCTGAAGAAATGTGAGCTCAAGGTGGTGGATCAGTACATGAATGAAGGAGACTGTCAGATCCTCATCCACCACATCTCCCGTGCTTTAAAAGAAGACCTGGCTGAGAAGATGCGCCTGTCTCCCTTTCTGAGCATCATAATGGATGCCCAAAATGATGACCTTTTCTCAGACATGGTGGCAGTCTATGTGCAGTTCATAACCAATGAAGGCTCACCCAACACTGAGTTCTTGTCCTTGCAGAGACTGAGCATGACCAGTGTGGACGGATATCTCCAGGCCATAGATCGAGCCTTTGGGGTTCTGGGACTCAGGTTTCAGGACTCAATGGTTGTGGGTCTGGGTGTGGACGGTACTAACATCTCCTCAGGAATGAGAGCCAATTTATACATAGCTGTGCAAAAGTCTTTTCCCTGGATCCTCTGTCTTCCCATCATGATCCATCGGCCTCATCTTGAGGTGCTGGATGCCATCAGTGGGAAGGAGCTCTCCTGTCTTGAGGACCTGGAAAACAACCTTAAGCAACTTCTCAGTTTCTACCGCTACTCCCCTCGTATGATGGCCGAGCTACGGTCAACTGCTCCGACACTGTCAGAAGAGACGGAGTTCCTTGGAGACATTAGAGCCATTCGATGGATCATTGGAGAACCAAATGTCCTTAATGCACTCATCAAAGATTACTTGGAGGTAGTTGCCCATCTGAAGGAGATCAGCAGCCAGACCCAGAGAGCTGATGCTGCAGCCATCGCTCTCACTCTCCTCCAGTTCCTTATGGACTATCAATCAGTAAAGCTAATCTACTTCCTCCTGGACATCATAGCGGTTCTTTCACGGTTAGCCTTCACTTTCCAGGGAGAGTACCTTCTGGTGTCACGGGTGGAAGCCAAAGTTGAGGAGGCCATTCAGGAGATAGGCCAGTTGGTGGACTGCCCTGGAGAGTATCTACAGGAGTTCGAGGAAAACTTTCGTGAAAGTTTCAACGGCGTTGCTCTGAAGAATCTGCGCGTTGCTGAGTCCAAGTTTCAATCAATCAGAGAAAAGATTTGCAACAAGAGTCAGGGCATCCTCTCCCAGAGGCTGGATCTGCAAAGCCGCTCATTTGCCAAAGCCTGCAAGGTCCTGGACCTGTCCACTTGGCCTCACAGCCGGGAGGACCTTCAAGTCTACGGGGAGGAGGAAATCCAGCTGATATTCAAACATCTGGAGTCCATTCCTTCTGCAGGTCAAGAGAGCTCCCAAGCCAGGACAGAGTTCAGAGGCTGCCTGGTGGTGGAATGGAAGGATCTGAAAGCAGACTACTACAGCATGAATGGCTTCAAAGAAGTCATCAGTCACATCTGCAGGTACAAGCAGCGTTTTCCTCTGCTGAACCGGATTGTGCAGGTTGTCAGGGTGCTACCCAGTTCCACAGCCTGCTGCGATAAAGGACGAGGGTCTCTACAGAAAATGTGCAAGAACAACCGTTCCCGGCTAACCCTGGAGCAGATGAACGACCTGCTGACCGTGGCAGTTAACGGGCCATCCATCAGCAGCTTCGATGGGAAGAGAGCATTGGACAGCTGGTTCGAGGAAAAGTCTGGTAACAGTTACTCTCTGTCAACGGAGGTGTTGAACAGGATGTCGACTGCTGATCAGAAGTCTGTTTTGCATAGTGTTGATGTCAACACAGAGTTTTACCCAGACATCTAACAGGCACACCCGGGGTTGTTAGCATGATGACAAAAATACAACTACAACTCACAACACTAATACGAAGAAGTCAATAGGATACAAGTTAATTTGAAGCCGATCTTTAGTATAGTATAGGAATTGATCTGATGAGGAATTATCCTCCGCGGAAAAATCTGAAACTTTGTCTTTGGTTCCCTGTTCACTGTTTTGTCTTTTATCACAAGTCGAAAGTTTATCCACATAAAACGCAAGATGTTTTAAGTCCAGATGAGATTTTGGCTAATCTCTAGTCATAGCTATATAAAGTAGATGAATTAAAAAGTCACTAGTCGATACATTTCAGTCCATGTGTTCCATCTCCTTTTCTCTCCACGTTGACTGTTCACCTGCGGGCAACTGAAGTTCCCTTTAAACCTGATTGGTCGAACTGGAAACAGAAACCAGCCCCAAGATCTGGTCCCTGGATACAGATTCTGCTTCACCTGTCAAGAAAAAAAGAAATAACCGCCTGTGGTTGTACGCCTCCGCCAAACTACAGATCCGGTCTACATACAATTTTTTCCCAGATTGTTATTAGGTCACTTTGACCTTCGACCTCTGAAATCGAATCAGTTGATCTTTTAGTTCAAGTGACAACTGGTCAAAATATTATGTTCACAAGAATGAGAGGGACGATAACCTGAAAACAAAATTCTTTCTGCCACTGGGTGTCGCCGGTGAGAAGAAGTGTTGCTTTGACATGTCTGTGCCTGACATCCTTCACTGATGAGTCAGACCCACACGAGTGAAATCCTTGAGTCACTCAGTTCGACGTGAGGAACAATCAAAGTAAATGTTCAGTTCAGAGTGTCGGGCTGAGAACAGGCTTTATATTTCTATTAGGAATACACAGCCCTGCTTCACCCTGTACCGACTATAAACTGTATATGCTTTCAGCTGTTTTTTAAACAGACTATTTTTCTCTTGAATTGATGATTGTTCCATTTTGACTGAATGCAAGAACTGAAGAAAAAGGTGCTAACCTGCTCCGCCATAATCTCAATTACTGTATTTGTTTAGCACTGCAGCAAATATGTTGTTCACTGGCGCATCTTCTTTGTTTGACCAAAGCTCAGTTTTCAAATGTTTCATAAAACTGCATGAAGATGTTCAAGTGTTGCTTTTAGCACTGACGTTGTATATAGCTATAATTAAAGCTAGGGTTGTTAATCCTGGAAGGTTTTGCAAGAGCAGGCTACACTTTAAACTCATTTACACCAGAATTCCTGGCTGTGAACGTTTGTCTGTTTGTTTTTCTCCCTTCTCATTGCCAGTAGAGGAATATGGTGTCAGGTTTCCGTCACTGAAGAGGACTTTTCTGTGAGTTGCTAACGTCTGACTCTCGTCTCTGTGTTTTGTCCATCTGAAGTCTCATGTGCAGAGAGACGATAGACAGACAGGTCAGTTAGTGACAGACAGACAGGTACACCAGACAATCATTTCTTTGATTGGTCGTTTTGTTTTGTCTTGTGAGACACTTGAGGCTTTATTGCATTTTTTTCCCAGACGACTTTATTTTTGATGCTTTTAGGATGTGAAGGGGATTTAAACAAATTGTATAATGTATTTCAGAAACAAATTTACAACACCACATTTAACGTATCGGTCGTCAATAATCCATGAGGTTCTAATTAGAGGCAGTCGACCGTTACTGCACTGAGCAGTGACAAGTGTATTTAAAGGAGAAGTTTGTTTTTTTCAACCTGGTCCTTATTTCCAGCATATGGTTTGTATATCTACTCACCCATAAAGGTTTGGAGTAACTTGGAGTCCTTCGGACGCTGTTAGCGATCGGCGTATATCCATACAACGCAAGGGTTCAGGGCATCCACGATACAGCCTCTAAATAACCATTATCTGCCGCGAAACTCTTTATTTACTATGAATCTCCAGCACTAGTCCCCTGTGAGTCCAAGTTGCTTTGTTTACATCCTGGGCTTTCACTGGGGTGACGTCACCGAGGCACGCAGCTGCAGAGCAGTTGACGATCAGGTGTGTTTGTTTACACAGAGTTTGCTGCTGCTAGTTTTGCGCAACATGGCAGAAAACTTATTATGTGCTTTACAGTACAGTATTTTTTTAAAGCAGCTATGTCCTGGTGCTCGGGCGTATTCACCCGCTTAAAGGCTAGCTAACTTCAGCGGGCTAAAGAGCAGCCTCGAAGCTAGCGTTAGCTTAGCGAGCCGAGAGCGAGTTGTCTTCCTGTTTAATCAACAAACACGAAATGAACCTGGATTGAAACAAAGCAGCGTCTCAGGCAGAGACGATCAAATCCCTGCTTTTCAATCCAACACGAGGTCTCAGTTGTGAAACTCTCATGTTGTTAGCCAACATTGCAGCATCAGCAACAAGCTAACCCTGTGTTGTTTAGGTCGTGCTTTTCTTTTGAAGCTGTATAATGATATTATTAGGCTATAACCAGTGCAAATATGGATCAGTGTATAATATCTGAAAGTTCAAAACGGTAAAATATACCTTGAATAATTCTCTACAAGGCTTATATCAAAGCGGGACCAGCTTACTATAAATACACTCCTACAAAAAATACTGTACTGTAATGCACCTGATAAGTGTTCGGCCATGTTGCGCAAAACTAGCCACAGCAAACTCCGTGTAAACCAACACACCTGATCGTCAGCTGTGCTGTGGCTGCGTGCCTCGGTGACGTCACCCCAGTGAAAGCCCGGGATGTAAACAAAGCAACTTGGACTCACAGGGGACTAGTGCTGGAGATTCATAGTAAATAAAGAGTTTCGTGGCAGATACTGGTTATTTAGAGGCTGTATCGTGGATGCCCCAGTCACTTGCGTTGTATGGATATACGCCGATCGCGTGAGGATCTAAAAGCGTCCGAAGGACTCCAAGTTACTCCAAACCTTTATGGGTGAGTAGATCTACAAACCATATGCTGGAAATAAGGACCAGGTTGAAAAAAAACGAACTTCTCCTTTAAGTGTTGAAGTCGGGACGACGTGACCTCTGAGCTGTGAATCCTTTCATGTGACTGAAAGATAAAAGCTGTTTCTTTGATTTATGGATATTTTGTGCATGTGTGTGTTGTGCACGTGGTTGCTCAGAGCAGAATCACTCGTCAGTTTTTTCTGCTTCACCTTTCGTCCTGAAACGTTTCACTGATGAATGCAGAAGTTTTGTGCTCGGCCTTATTCTGAGTTTCTCTTCATGATGGCTGATTGTAATCTGACTCCAGAGCTGCTTTAAGTTTGGTGTTTGCTGAACTTTTTATCACAGATGAACCAAAAACAAACTTGTGATCACTTTATTTCTCTGCTCATTGTTTTTTCTATTCTGCTTCTGATGCAAATTACAAATTAAAATACATTTTATCTGAACAACTTTCTTCAAACTTCCTTCAGATTAAAGGACGTTGGTGAAACAGTGATGTCACTGTGAACGAATCAGCTGACGTCACCTGATCAGTGACGCTTCATCCAAACACTAAGACATCGACCCCCTGGTGGCTGGCTGCAGATTAGGTCATTAACCCTGCCTCTTCCATGTTAGCAGATGGGACATGCACAAATTAAAAAAACAAAGTAGAACAACGTCATCCCAACAAGATGGCAGCATTCATGTCTGAGATATTTTAGCTTCATTTCTGGATGAAGTGGAGACGTGTTGAACATACAGGGTTAGGGTTTAGGGTTTAGGGGTTAGGAGTTAGGAGTTAGGAGTTAGGAATGGGCGTTGACCTGGTCTCTGTTGTTTCATGCTAATGTTCACTGCACAGATTAAAAACATGCAGTAACTTCTGCCACTAGGAGTCTCACTTGGCTTATCTCTTTATATGCGATTTTTTGGATCGTGACCCCAACTTGAGTGTGAAGTGCCTCCAAAGCGCCCCCTGGTGGAGAATGAGGGGAAAGCAGAGAAAGAATAAATGATGGTGCCACATCCGTCGTCCAGTGTTCACAAGTAGTTAGAATGAAGACTGAAGGTTTGGACAAAAGGTCTCAGCAGCTGGACGCAGATACAGACGCTGCTCTGTGAGGCAGCAGCTGAGCTGTCACACCCTGGAACCGATAGAAACACAACAGAACAGTCGACACAGTCACAAACTGAAACCTCGGCACTTTCACCCACAAGCCACTGTCACACACTAAATGTGATATAATAATAATCTAATCAGAGAACACATACTTTCACTTTAACAAAAGTATTAGGATAAAAAGTGACGGAATGTATCTACAGCTTCTTCAGAGGAATCACTGAGGTCATTAAAACAGTAATTCCACAAATACAACAGAGAAGTCAAAGAATCAGGCTGTGGCTGTTTATGACTCAAGATGATTTGATTGGTTTTTAAAATTATGAATTGACCAGTGGATTGATGCCTTGATGTGATTGGCTAAAAAATGTCCCCTCTCTAATGGAAGCCAGGCAGAGTTGGGCTCTTTGAGCGATATGTACAACAAGTATTTAACTGACCTCAAATCTACAGTTACAATTTACACTTGTTCACTTCTTCCTGCTTCACATCTTCTCAACAGATTCATTGATTATTATCATCACTACTAAACTGTATGTGATTTAAAATGAGCTCCAACTCAACCAGCTACTGATGCTTAAGTCGTATTA